CAGCATGAAATATGTGAAATAGGGTTCGCATAAATAAAACACAGGTTCTTTTTATGAAAATAACACTTCGATAGGGTAAAACAAGAGAAGGGAAATTTAAGACATCATCATTTTGGAACAGAGAGACTGTGGCATCACACAATGATCTTCAAATCTGTTTACCAAATATTCCTTAATGGAATGGTTAGGGGGAAAAAGTAATCTTTCTATGGCCTGCTGATAGCATTATTTTTCTTTCAGTTCAATGTTACATCTTTCACACCATATGAATATATTTTGAATTCCTTTTAGACATCAAAATATGTTTAAGTGTAAACTTTACTTAAAAAAAAAGGCAGGAAGAAATGCCTGCTATTTATACACTGATTTGTAAGTCTCCAAACACACTGACACTTTTCCCAAGGATGTACTCAACAGAGAACTATGACCTAGAGTTCAGTACTACAACTTTGGTGTCTGGGAAACCATGACCTAGAGGTGAAAGTTCATGCCCAAGGTCACACATGTTAAACACTAAATCCAGTATTATGAACCCTAGTTGAGAGCAAACTACTTTTCAATACACTTTGAAACTAGAGTTAAGTGATGGAGTTGATCACTTCTTCCCAAAACAAAAAAGCCTTGTGATATCTAAGAAGGATTCCCAGTTACATCTTCTTGCTGCGCAAGATTTGTTTCCACTGAGAACCATATTATTATCCAAGTGGTTTAGTGTGCTTTCACCATTTACTACTTTCATTTAATTATCAATTTTCCTATATACATTTTAGGTATATATAAGATATTGTAATCTTTCTGTAGTTCTATATTTGCTACCCAAAAAGTAGTAAAATTATTTAAAATATAAAATAAATAAGTATCAACTCAGCTCCTAACATTTTTGGTTTTTGGTTTTGGATCATACTCAGCAGTGCTCAAAGATTACTCCTGGCTCTGAATTCAGGGATCACTCCTAGCAGGACTCAGGAAACTGTATGGGGTGTGGGAGATCAAACCGGGTTGTCTACATGCAAGCATGCTACCTGCTGTACTAGCTCTCCAGCTCCAATACTTCTACACATCTTAATTTTGATTAAGAAGAAAATCATAAATTATATAATTAGAAAGATATATAAAATTTTTCATCTTTAGGTATTAAAATTATCATAAAAGTGCAAGAAAAGCAATTTATAAGTTACACTGAAATTAAAATTTGAGCACTTTCTCTATGAACAAATAAAGTGATTAAAATAAAATGCTTTTTTCCCCTGTACAAATTCATGTTCTAAAAATTAATTTTTAATATCACTGTCACTGTCCTCCCATAGTTCATCGATTTGCTTGAGTGGGCCCAGTAACATCTCCATTGTGAGACTTGTTGTTACTGTTTTTGGCATATCGAATACGTCACGGGTAGCTTGCCAGGCTTTGCCATGCAGGTGAGATACTCTTGGTAGCTTGCCAGGCTCTCTGAGAGGGGCAAAGGAATTGAACCTGGGTCGGCCTGGTTGGCCACATGCAAGGCAAACGCCCTGCCTGCTGTACTATTGCTTCAGCCCAATTTTCAATATAGGAGGCAAATTTTTCAAATTCACTCTTCACTCTAAATTTTTGCATCAGTTCTAAAGCTTCAAAAGACTGAGGAGATAACTGAAATCCTATTTTTCAAACACTAGAAAATAGATATTTAAGGGTAAAAAATGGCACAAAGACACAGAAAATTAATCAGTTACATTAAGGCAAGTGGCCCCTGTGTTATCTCACCAACCACTCAGTGGCATTCTTTTTTTTTTCCTTTTTTTATTAGTAAAACACCATGAGGTACAGTTATAAGCTTACAAATTTTGTGCTTGGGTTTCAGTTATACAATGATCAAGTGCCCATCCCTCCACCAGTGTCAGTGGCATTCTTAACAGCTAAATTAGTTCAGTTGAGAAGTATCTGAAGTTAATACTATTCAGTTTATTATAATCAAGATGTTTTAAAATAAGTTCCAAATTCATTACATGTCTGAAGAAGCTCCTTGAAAGTTTGGCTCCATGAGAGCAGTTCAAAGAACCTTACAAAAAAAAAAAACTGCAGCCATAATTTTGGATATCTCCAATGAAGGAAGTAGAGGTTGGATGAGGTCAAGATTAATCACATTTTATAATTAGCTAAATAGCCCATGAAAAATTGAGGATGTCATTTTAAAGAGGTTCCACTGGTAATTTCATAAAATTATTTTTGCTAAGTAAAATTGCAGAAATCTTGAAATCTGTCCAAAAAATAGATATCTAAAGAAATTACTATTGGTGGTGAGAAAATTCTTCCTTGAAAAATGTATTATAATACTCACTGTTATGACTTTCTCCAAATAGGACCTACCTCACTTCTAAACTGGGATTTGTGATACATATGCAAATACGGTACCAACTGTCATGTCATGACTTTGTCTTCCATAAACACTTCTATAATTCTTCTTTTATAAAATCCTACAAAATCTCTATATAACACATCTGATGTTGCATGGTCATTGATTGGAATACTGAGCCAGAAGCCATGTGACAAGACCTGATTTTAAGATATCAGAGATGACTATCAGTAAGTTTACACCACTTCTAAGATTGAAAAGAGAATAAATTTATTCCACTGAAATAAAAATATAACAAAAATAATCACAAAGAACTCAATTCACAAGCATCTTTTAATCAGCTATTATACAGTAAGCACTAAAAGTGTTAACAAAACAAGTAAAACCTTTTAATTCAACCTGACAACTTGCTTCTAAATATGTCCCAGACTGTAGGCAGGGGGATCTGTAAGGACTATACTGTAGCACTGTTCTCCTTTGTTCATCAATTTGCTCGAGCAGGCCCAGTAACATCTCCATTGTGAGACTTGTTGTTACTGTGTTTGGCATATCGAACACGTCACGGGTAGCTTGCCAGGCTTTGCTGTGCAGGCGAAATACTCTCAGAAGCTTGCCAGGCTCTCCAAGAGGATCAGAGGAATCGAACTCAGGCCGGCCAGGTGCAAGGCAAATGCCCTACTGCTGTGCTATCGCTCCAGCCCAAGGACTATACTAAATGTATCAAACATTTTCTCAAACACTAGGAACTTTACTACCAGTTCGAATAAAACAAATAGAAAATAGACCTCTAAAATTCAAGCAAACGATTTTAAAACCCAAGCTGTATTATTATGTATGATTTTTAAAAGATTCCCTCCAAAAGCTCATAATTAAGTAGGAAAGGGACAGAATAGTACTATTTCTCATTACCAATTAAGAGCTGTGCATTTGTACTTGGACTATTAATGGGACATCTCTTCAGAACTTCTGTGATATTATTTCCATTTAAAAACAAAGTTGAGATTCAGTGAGATAAAATACATTACTGTATCAAGTCATGATGACATATTTTGAAACGGAATAGTGTGAGATAAAATACATTACTGCATCAAGTCACAATGACATATTTTGAAAAGGAATAGCAAAAAACTTCTGTTGTTTATTTTTATCCTCTACCACGGTCATCTAACCACAATGCAATTAGAAATTGTCTATTATCAGAAACCAAAGCAGAATGGATTAAGTCTAAACAGCAATGTGTATAAAGCAGTATATGTAAAGATACATGAAAATAACAAAGACTATTTCCCTTTTGTCTCATGTTTGGGTAATAATTAAATATACAGAGTCTAATTTTGGACCAGTTATATGCCAGGAGTTTTTTTCACATTTTATCTTATCTAATTCTCATATCCATCCTGTCAGGCAGGTGCTATTATGTTTTTGCAGCCACACCCTAAACCATGATATGCTCAGTACTTATTCCTGTATCTGTGCTCAGGGATCATTCCTGGAAGGGCTCCGGGGTCCTATGTGGTGCCATGGATAGAACCCAAATGTTCTACATGGCATGGCAACTGATCGAAGTTATTTTAGAATAGTAATTTCACCAAAATCATTTTTCAAGGCAAGTGCCTCTTTGTACTATCTCTTCAGTCCCTATTTCTGATCTACCTAGATATTTAAACATAAAAAATGATCCAGTGTTGCTCACTATTAAAAGATGACACTCATATCTATAATTCTAGTATACAACTATTTTAAAATATAGGTAAAAAAGGTAAAGGCCCTCCCATTGTTCATCGATTTGCTTGAGCGGGCCCAGTAACGTCTCCATTGGAGACTTTGTTGTTACTGTGTCTGGCATATCGAATACGTCACGGGGAGCTTGCCAGGCTCTGCCGTGCGGGCGAGATACTCTCAGTAGCTTGCCAGGCTCTCCGAGAGGGGCAGAGGAATCGAACTCGGGTCGGCCATGTTGCGTGCAGCCCTACCGCTGTTCTATGGCTCCAGCCCTGCTATCGCTCCAGCCCATTTTAAAATATAATTTTCTAAAAAATAGAAGTCACAGACTTGTATTGACTTGCATGTGGATATGAGACTTATATACCATAGTGAAACTTAAAATTCTAAATCATTTTCATAACACAAAATAAAAATTGAAGGGTAAGAAGAGACATATAATTTGTGCAACCTTGTAAGTTTTTTAACATACTGATAAGATTTGTGTTAAACTCAGAGAGTAAGATGCTAGTGGTACATGTCAGCATCAACATACTAATATCTGTGTATTAATTTCCTGACTTATAAAAATCTTAGGTATAACATAAGATCAATAAGATAATTCAGTAAAGCAGCTGTACATAAAGCAGCTAAAACAACACCTAATGCAAATCAATTGCTAATACACGCAAGCCAAACAAGCTTAGGAAGTCCATACAACAAATTTATCTCTCAAATAGAGAAAACTAGAGATTTAGATTTTAACAACTTGTCTCAGGATCTCAAATGGTAACCAGAGGTATTAGTGAGGGCATGCATTCTATTTTTCAGTATAGCTAAACGTTGAGAGGTCAACAGCAGATACTCAATAAATTCTGCTTAGTAGAAAAAAATTTTCTCAGTAGAAAACTTCCGTGTTTAAGAATCCATTTTTAGGATCGGTCAGTACAGCAGATAAAGTGCTTACCCTGCATGCAGCCAACCTGGGTTCAAAATGGCACTTCATATGGTCCTGGAGCGTTGTCAGCAGTGACTCCTGAGCACAGAGATAGGAATAAGCCCTGAGCACAGAGCCAGAAGTAAGTCCTGAGCAGAGTCAGGTATAACTCGTAGACCAAAAGACTCCCTCCCCCACCTCCCCTCCCCCAGTTTTGTTTATATCTTGCATTAAAAATAGTTTAAGAGTGGAGTTCATGCCAAATTCAATCAGCTAATCAGTGGCTGAATAAATAGCAGTACTCCTACATAAAAAATAAATTAAGAGTTATCTATTTTATGAAATTCTTCATGTAGTTGTGTCTAGCTTGCCCAGGGCCATGCTAATCCTCTCTGTATCATTCCGATTTTAGTATATGTGCTGTTGAACTACTGGAAGTACTACTTTAATTTATTTATTCGGGCCATGTCTGGTGATGCTCAGGGGTTATGCCTGGCTCTGCACTTATAAACTGCTCCCAGCTGTGTTCAGGGGACCATATAAGATTCTGGTGATCAAACCCAGGTCAGCCTGTGCAAGGCAAACACCCTACCTGCTGTGCTATCTCTTCAGTCCCTGGAATACTACTACTTTCAATAATTGACATTCATATAATTTCCAAAGCCAACAAAACAAATCAATGCCTTTAAATAATTATTTGGCAATTAGCAGCAATCTATTTCAATTGGAACTTTATTTGTCACCTTTTAATTCATTATTATAATTTTATGCTACCAAACTCTTAAACCTAGACAATCTGTGGTTTATCTTGGCAAGATGCCCTTGCCCTTACATGTAAGATAAACTTCCTACTTATTTCATAATAGTGAAATAACGCCGTCAGCAATTTTCTGTGTTTTATAAAGCAGTAAGCACAAAAATGCCCAAACCTATTTCCTTTCAGTCTGCATACATAGCTATCCCACTGCCATACAGTGATATCAATGCCCAGGTTCAGATGAAAAATCAGCACTAGATCAGCTACACCTGTGTAAGCTATGGCTCTCACTGCAAACCCAGAATTATGTTACACGGAACCCCTACAATGACAACAGACACTGCTGGCAACATTTGAACAGTCCTGGTTGTGAGGGATTCCACCCAAAATCTTTAGTGACTTGAGAACTGTCACTAAGGTCTTCGGTAGCTATTTTTGAAAGGGAGCGGCAACTGATTCACAGAAAGTTCTTTGAAATCACATGAAACAAAACAACAATATATACCATTTCTACATATTAAGCATTTCATTTATCCTCTAGATTGTTTTGTACAGAACAACACTATAAACTAATGAATGAAATGTGGTAAAATCCACGCAATGAAGTATCATTTGACAATGAAAAAAGTCTAACGAACAACAACTACATGGCGCATCAAGAATAAACCTTGAAGATATTATTCTAAGTGAAAGAAGAAAGTTACAAAGCATTGATATGGTATGTGATGCCACTTATGTGTAATTTCCAGGTGAATTCATAGATATAGAAATTAGAGTAGTGGAGCCTAAAATGTGGGAAATTGAGAGAGGAAATGGATGTGACAGTTATGGGTTTAGGGTGTCTTCCCGGGATGATAAAATGTTCTAAAATTGATTGTGGTATGACTGTGTAGCTGTGATTATACTAAAACCATTGAACTAAATTTTATAAATTAGTGGATTTTATGGTATGTAAAATATATATAAATAAGCTGATCTATAAAAATTATAAAACTGGTATCACTAACTTTATATTTCAAACAAGGAAAACAAACCTAAGAGAAACACAGAGACTCCCATATCCTCTGACCCCAGAGACCAGGGCATTTTTCAAAATTACAAGCAAATGTTTTTCAGCATACTCAGGCTGTTAAAAGAGGGTGCAAATTGACTCATCAAAGTAAGATACTTTTCTGTCCTTAAACTTTTCCATTATTATCAGTACCTGTCTATTTCCAATTGGGTATCATGTAATCTAAAAACTAGAGAACAATCACAGCTGAAATAAAAAGCAAGTATCTACACAAAAAATTTCATCCAAAGTAAACCCTCTGAATCTTAAAGTCAAAATTTCCAAAACTACCAAAGATAGCTTTCCACCAGTTAATTAATTAATTAATAAAAAGAGCAACATAAAGTGGATGACTATCCTGGTAAGTGGTTCGCACCCCTGGCAGCTGCAGTGCCCTTTTTGTAACTCGCTTTCTGTCTCCAAATTAAACACAAATATGCTATACCCATATATAAAAAATGCACATAATATCCTAAATACAATACCTTTTATAATTTTCTATATACTAGGTCAAATCACAAAAGTAGCTATGTGAAAAGAGGACTGGATACATTTGGCGTTCTTTATTTACGAACATGGCTCCATTTTGAACATGTTCAAACAAACCTAACCCAAAATAGATGTGAAAAACTGTTTCTACATTAATAAAGAAAAAAAGAAAAGTGTTTCATTAACAATTGTCTATATATAGAATTATTCTCTCAGAGAGTATGAGGTCAACATTTCAAGTTCCTTTGTTCTGTTTACATGTTCTATGTGTTAAAGAGTTGTTATCGGGCATTGTTTTCACCCCGCAAGGAGTCTGACTTCAGTTCTCATCCTTCCACTCATGTGGACTTTGACTATCTGAGTCTTTATTTTTAATATAAAAATTAAGAATCTACAGAATTAGAAAGCTATGAATCTTTTGAAATTTTGTTTAGAATGAGCTACTTATCTATTTCCAAGAAAAATTGAATTATTCAAAACAATGGCCATTTATTCACCAACCCTGACATTAATTTTGATTGATGATTTTTACCTTTCCATTTCCCTCAGGAGTATCATCAATGCAAAGTGAAATGTGTCTCAAAATACGTGTCCCTATTAAAAACAGAGATAAAGACAGAGGCAGTGACAGAAACTGTGTGTGATCCTCACACTAGTGTCAAGGTGTGGCACCAATGTTAACTTGCAGACCTCAATTTCTTTGCACTGTTTTCTTTCCATTTGGTTAATTAAATATTGTTGTAGTCCACTGATGCTGCTATAACAAAATACCATATTTTGGTTAATCATGGTATTTTGTTAATTACTGTTTTATTATTTCTGTTACTATAAACAAAATTAATTTTTAAATTATTCTGAAAATCCAAACTCAAGACTCCAGTATGGCTAACATTTTAATACTTATTGCTTCATTCTTAGTGCTTCCTACAAAAGATAAATGTGTCCTCTGTAATGCATTAGTCCCATACACGAGGGTCACACAGTAATAACTTGAGAATCTTCCAAAGAATATTCCCCGCATCATTACCTTAGGGAATTTAGGATTTCAACTTATGAACTTAGGTGAAGTACACAAACATTAAAAATCTCAGCAAATATGTCACCTTTAACAGTTGTTTTTTAGAGGCAAGAGAGAGTACAAAGATTAAGGCACTTGCCTGGCATACGATTATAGCTGCACACTTGGTTTGAATCCTGAATACACCTGAGCACCTTAGAGTGGTCCCTGAGCAGAGCCAGGTCCAATCTCCCCAAAAAACAACAGCAGTAAAGTTTGCTCTATTTAAAACATATATGTAAAGTTTACTCAGTGATGTTTTTGCTTCTTTGATAATGATTATGAGACATGCACTGAAAGTCCTGATGGTCCCTAGGAAAAAATGATGATTTAGAATAACATGTTTTGGTACAATGGAATCATTATTAACGGGATTAAGTTAGTTAGTGATTCTGGTTTATATATAGATATCGATATGTCCTGTATGGCATAACGACTGATTGCAGACATTTTAGAATAATAGGAAATTCACTAAAATTACCTCCCAATTACATGGTAAAGTTGAAACAGACCATTTCTGAAACTAAACTGGTATAAGACATAGTGATAAAAAGTCCAATAGTCTTTCATTGAGGCTGACAAATGAAGATTTTCTAAAACATAATGATTACTAATACTCATGCACTAGTCATTGATATTTTTTGTTTTGATGGGTGGGAGAGGGGCAATTCCTGCCAGTGCTTAGGGCTTAATCCTGGCTCTGCACTCAAGGGATGTACGATATGAGGTACTGAGCATTGAATCTGGGTAAGATGCATGCAAGGAAACGAGCCTGAAACTGTTCTAAGAACTACAAACATACTGACTACCTTAAATCTTACTAGCAGAGTGGAGTGTTGGCAATTGCAACATTTTGTTATCACGTAAGAAACTTCCCATCACCCTCACAGTTCAATTAAGATCATATTCAAAGCTCATGTATATGCAAGAGGTACACGCATGCTCTGTGTAAACACATACGTACATATGTAACACAACACACACCAATGTAACTGTATGCTGTGTGTATACACACATGTGGGTAAATGTACAAATAGCTATGGCTAGGAAAAGAAAACATACATATGGTCCCAATTTAAAGATCAGGAATCTAGAGATTTTTTTCAATCAGTGCACTTGATAGTTACATCTTTCTATTCAGTAAATACAGAAAAATAATTCTAGTTTCAGCTTTTCATTGGCATGAATATTATAAGATTAAATTGTTGACACATGCGAACTGATTTTCACAGCTACAGCTGACTGGAAGTTTTAGATACAAGTCATGTTAACAGTTTTGTTGTGACTCCTGTCATAAAGAAATTCGTACAAATCATGCAAAAATCACTAGATGAAATATGTTATACTTGCACTGCCAAGACGTCTCGTCACAATTTCAGCTTATTCGACTTCTGGGACCACAGCAAGGGAAGAAGTAAAACCTTCTCCTGGCGGGAGTCCAGTATTCGAGCAGCCTTGCAGGTGCCAGTGTCTCCCTCGAGCATGTAATAGTCATTATTTACTAGTAGGCTTTTTGACAAGAAAAAAATCACCACAGACGCAGGACAAGTAACCCTACGAACATAACCTAATGATGTCAATAAAGAAAATTAATTTTTTTTTTTTGCTTTTTGGATTATACCCAGCAATGCACAGGAATTACTCCTGGCTCTGCACTCAGGAATTACTCCTGGCAGTGCTCAGGGGACCATCCATATGGGATGCCGGAAATCGAACCCAGGTCGACAGAAAATAATTTTTTTAAAGAGTGTAATAAATAAGAATAAAACAAATGCCTATTCAAGAGTGTTCAAGAGTGGTAATTTTTTTTTACATAAGCTAGGAAGAGTCTTGAAGGAACTGTGAAAGTGGGCCCCATTTGGTCAAGAGATGGACACTAAAAAAAAAAAAAAAAGGATGGCTTTTGTCATGACCAGAGAATGACAGTTGCCAAGATCATGGATTCCCCCACCCATCTCTTCCTCCTCCCTTCCTCACCCTCTAACTTTCTCACAAATACACACACACACACACACACACACACACAAATTCATCCAATTTTGCCCACCTGTTTATCTTTTGTTTCAGAGACAAAGTGTAGATATATT